AAGATAGGAGAAGTGCGGAGAGCCGGGCGCGGGGACAGCCACTTCCAGCCTCCAGAGACGACAGACAGCACCCAAACCCCAACTGCCCCAGGAGCAGGGGCCAAGTGGGCCTCTGGGGATACTCGCCCGAACTCCATCCCGGCTCTCCAGAACCCGGAGAACGCAGAGCAGCAGGCGGGGCGCATGCGCGCCTCCGGCCAGGGTTCCCTCCCCGGCCTGCAGAGTTTGGGGAAAGTTTGGCGAAGTTTGCAGTAGCAGCGGCGGACGTCCCAAAGGCTGGGCGCTTTGGGGTGTGAGTCCAGGAGCCCCCCGGAGTCCCGAGCGCTGGCACAGCAGGGGCCCGAAGGCTGAAAAGCAGCAGAAGGTGGGGAAAGCAGGCCTTTTGTGCGTGGCGCAGGGGAGTCACTTGCGCACAGACGCAGCAGCGCGCTCGCTGCCGCCTCAGCCTCTTGGGCTGCACCTCCGCCTCTGAGGCGCTTCATTACAGCCGAGCCCTTCCCCCGCCTCCCCCCCGGCCCAGGCCTTTGTTCGGCTTGAAAGTAATGCTGTGAATTAAAAGAAATGACAATATTTTCTATCTGCTTGAAAGTCCAAGAGAAGAGCCCTTGAGCTTGGCAAAAATCAGGCAAATCATTCATCATGCCACCCCGCACCTGTGGTCTTGGCATTGAAAACCCTCCAGACCTATTCCTATTAAACTTAATTATTCCCCCAAAGCACACAATAGTTGAAATGGAGCAGGTTGGAGTCTGTTTATTGGTGGTAAATGTTTTTCTGAAGATCTTCTGAATCTCATTGTTAGCTCGTTGTTTGAGGCTGCCCTCTTTCTTTCAGACTAGAGTAGCCTTGGACTTTTCAATTTTCAATCGTAACATCTGCTTAATCGTACGGATCAAAATATGGAGACACAAAACATATGTAATGGTTGATTTGTTAAATCCTGGTAATGAGTTATTAACAAGGGAAAACAATAGGCCAGGATGGTGAGAGCCTTATGGTAACAGAGTCACTTTATGTAACGCCTGACGTTTCCCTTCTTGATAAATGGAACTAAGGTCTGAGCGCCAGGTGATAGCAAGAAAATCAATGTCTTTAGGGGCCAGCACTGAGACTTGTTTCTATGTGAAAAATTAGGAGACATAAAATTTAATTGGCTGATCAGGAGGGGGGGAGACAGTGGTCTTAAGTTTAATTGCCAGTAGGCTTAGCAAGAGAGACAAAACAAGATTTGGGCCTGTTTGTGTGCTGCACCCCAGCCTCGAGTCCAAGTGTATCATTGAAAATGTGTTTTATTATAACACATGTCATGCTTTACAGTTCCCATATTGTGTAAAGACAATAGTTAATGGTACATTAAAGACAGGCAAACCATGCCAACACGTCTTGGAGACATTGTAAGAGCCTCTCTCTTTGCTTGTTTTAGGCAGCTGCAGCCCAGGACCCAGAAGCACAAAAAGAACAAGTTTGAAATACCAGGTGCATCCTAGAGAACCACGACAGGGATTGATATGTTATAGCCCAGGACATGAACCTAGCAATAAAGATATCATTTCGATTGTCTGAGGCTTCCACGGCCTGTAAAGCCCGGAGGCCCTGAGCAGCCTGCTTTCTGGCAGGCCTGTCTCTCTCCCTGGGTTTCCCATCTCCCTGGGCCAAATCTGAACACCTGTTGGCCAGACCTCACATCCCGTCGTGGGAATCGGCTCCTACCCCCGGTTCCAGATCTCAACAACGCAATTGGTTGTGGAATTATTTAGGACCATTCCCACAGGCTGCAGAAGGCTTTGGAAAGGCAGTGGGAGGGAGGACAAGGGCAAGAGGGAGAGGGAGGGGAAGGGCTCTTCCCAGAGAGATTTGCCAGGGTGTACTCAACTGGTGTTTGTTCAACCTCAAAGCTGGTGCTCAGTGCCACCACAAAGGCCCATTAATGGAAATGGGATGAGTTTATGGATTTAAGAGGCTTCGCACCCTCTCCACAGAGGGCGTTAATCCTGGTGCTGGCAGATGAGCAGTCCTGGGAATCACAGGCAGCCGATTTCACAGGCCTTCCTCCAACAAGGCCTTTTATGTGCTGTGCTCCCAGCCTGGCCTGGGGGACTTGCTCTTTTTCCCATCTATTTCTGCCTGGCAGGACCCACAGGCTCCAGAATTCCTCTTGTAAGGAGAGCTTTAGTGAATCCACATAGCCTCTCAGCTGTGGGAAGGAAAGTACACCACCAGGGGGCTCCTTGCCTGAGGCTGCCTGTGTAGCAAAGGTTACCCTTGCCTCTTTTTGTCCCCCACTTTCAAGAGTCACCCACCCCATAAGGAAACAAAGGGAAGGGTGCATGGGTTTCCCAACCTCTAAAACACAAAGGTTGTGTGTGTGTGTGTGTGTGTGTGTGTGTGTGTGTGTGTGTGTTTGGGTGCTCCCAGCACCCAAAAGGAAGAGTCGTTTTGGTTCTTTTGGTGGCATATAGTATCTTTTAGGGCAATGATAAGAGGCCCCTGACCCTGACACGCATCTGAAATGTAAGGAGGGAGAGAGATGGGGAGAAGAGGCTTGTACTGAGTGGAGTCACTGGCACTCTGATACCAAGGCACAGGGATTGAAGGACAGGGTGGGCTGCAGTTGAGGTTTGTTCAAGTAGGTTAGGAGCAGGTAAGGAGTTTGGGAGAGGAGGACACTGCACTGCACCTCCACTCTCAGTAAATGCTCTCTGGGACGCCCTCCTCCTGCAACTGATAGCAATGGAAGCTGGACCACTACAGATTGACTTAGCCAACTCTCCAGGAGAGATCATAAAATGTACCGTGTCCTGGGATTCAGCATCTTTATTATGTTAAATGGACAAGGGGCAGCCAGGGCACACTTTAAACTCTTTCCCCTGGTGGTTCCAAGCTGGGTCTGAGCATAAGGGCTGATGGGTGTTCAGAAAAGCAGGGCCAGGCAAAGGCTTGCCATTACTGGTCAGCAGTTGGGCTTACTAGATTGTTCCCATACACATTAAAAAAAAAAAAAGTTGGACAAAAAGTGTCAACTTAGGAGGACTACTTAATTCTTGTCATTCAAACTACCCTCACATGATCCTTCCAGTGCCAGGCTGTGTTCTAGGCCAGAGATGCCCCAGGCTGGAAGCTCTCTAGCCTGGCCCAGAAGGGTCACTCCTGCACCAAGTGCAGTGCACCCTGATGCCAAAGGACACTAAAATGATACATTTGTTCTGCTTTTATTGAGGCATTTTTTAAAAGAAAAAGAATTGCTACCCTAGAATGAATAGATTATGAGTAAATAAAAAGAAACTGTCAGTCTCTTTGAAGGTTGTGCTTAAAGGGACTTGCCAAGTCAGGACACAAGAGTGACAAGATAGAGACCCTGGTGTTTGCATGCTCAGCTCAGCTCTTCCGCTTCATCTGCACCGCAATAAAGGATGTGTTGATGCATTGACTCACAGAAAAAATGGCATGCAAAATAAAAGGTGGCACACCACAATGATGGTAGTGTTTTAATTGTGAAATGCCACACTGCCCAATCCAATGGAAACTCAGGTCTCTACAGGCGAAGAAAACGATACAACACCCCTATAACTTATAATTAAGTTGAATTCTGCCTAACATTTGACTTTCTAATGAGTGTAATGAGATTACATGCCTGATGGGAGCATTCTTGCAAAAGCAACTTTCGTGTTTAATGAGGCCCTAATACAGGACAAAATCGAATTATTTTTTCTCTTTCTCAAATTCTGTCTCCAGTGTGAAATCCCTCTGGGGGAGGGGCGAGGCTGGAAAGGGTGAGAACCTCCACGGCCAAAGGCCTCCTGGGAGCTTCGCGACCCAGAATCTCCGCGTGTTTGGCCAAGCAGCGCTTCGGGGTCGGGCTCCTGGCTTCGCTTTAATTGCTCTTGGACGAGGTCCATGGCACCCGCAGCGCGCGAGGACCCCCTTGGTGGGTCTGAAACTAGGTTAAAGCAATTAGCATGCTGCCAGCGTATTGTCTTTCGGCAAGGCTGGGGGTATTTGGGTGGTTCCTGATCGTACCGACTGATCAGGACGCTGCCAGGCCAGGGAGCAGCAATTCGCCTTGGCGGGACCTGCGCGTTGCGAGGACAGCGGTGCCAGCCAAAGCGCGCGCTCTGCGACCTTGCGCGCCTAGCCTCGCCGCCTGCAGTCTCGCGCCCGGCGCTGGCACCCAGGTGAGGGAGCGCAGGGGCCGTGGAGCGCACCTGTGGCTCCCACAGAGACCAGCCAGAGCCCCGTTTCCGGAGCTCTCGAGCTTAGCCCTAGCTCTTCTCCTCCTCGCTAGGGGGCCTGCGCCCTCCGCCTTAGGCTTCCTTTCTCCCCAGATCTCTGGAAGAGGGCAGGTCGAGGTGGAGGAAGAACGCAGAGAAACAACTCACTTGTTCAGGTTGTCAGGGAAGCAGAGTGGCCCTTTCCTGACTCACCTTTAAAAACATCCTGGATTTGGTTAAGTGCCCCTTCCCTACAGTCGTCTCAGGCTTCAGCCCTCCGGCCCGCCCGCCTGCCCGCCAGCCCCATTCCCTCAGAGGAGAGTACCTGTGCTGCAAATGAAGGGTGCGCCATGGAGCAGCTCCACTGCAACTGCTTCTCCCCAGCCCTTAGCAGCGGAAAGGCCCTTCGCTTGCCCAGCCCAAGGCTTTATAACCCCCCAGGACCTCACGTCTGTGCAGTTACCAGGCAGGACAGGGGTGACCTTGGGTAAACTACACAGGGTCACTGAGCCTCAGTGTTCCCCTCTGATAATGGGAATGATAAATACTCCGTGACATATTTGACCCACAAGGTATTTGAAATTTAGGATAAAAATATGGGGAAGTTGTTAACCATTTATGGCAGGAGATACAGACACCCCCCCCCCCTCAAGTTAATGAAATCAAACGTGGCTTCCTACCAGAGATCTACAGGTTTTCTGATTCGGTTCTTTCTTTCTTTCTTTCTTTCTTTCTTTCTTTCTTTCTTTCCAATTATTTTAAAGATACAAATATCCCCTTTGTGTACAAAACAAGATGTAAATAGCATTTATTAACGCTGAAAAGTAAACCACATTTGACAATAAATAGGCATGAAGTCTGCTGGCCAGAGGGTTCTTCCAACCAATAACATGGTTCCATCAAAGGTGCTGGGGAATCATAGGCTATTGCATATTTTTAGAAAATCGGGATAAATTATATAAATTATATATTTAAAAAGAAATCATCTATGTCATTAACTCAACAGAATAATAAATAGATAAATAACAAACAGTTGATTGCCATTAGAAAAATCTCATTCTTAAGTTACATTTACATCATAGATATTTACATGTACAGTATGCTCGGTCACAGTTAGATCCCCAGCCGAGTGTTGGCCCTTTCAGGACACAAACTCAAAGGGCGGTTCGTTTTCTATGTTGTTGAAAGATTTGCTGTTGAGTTTTCTGGGGTCCTCTGGGGTCCACACTTTGGCCCTTCGGATGATGTTTTGTTCTTTGAGTTGTTTTTCATCAGTCCAGGAGAGAGAGTGACCTGCGAGGGGAGGGAGGCCATAATCCGGGTCGCTGGGGGAAGGAGACCCTGAGGAGGCCAAAAGAGAAAACAGAGTGAATACCCCCAGTTTCCAGAGCATCTCCCCTTCCTGGCACCTCCACTCAGGTTACTCCTTAGATTGTACTAGAACCAAGGCTCATCACACTCCCTGGCCAGCTCTCAGCGCCCCCTTCCCGGAATCCAAGGAGGTGCGGTTCTTGGGGAGGGGAGACGCACATCTCTCTGTCTGAGCTGTGGTCAAAGTATCAAAGAATAATAATAATAACAATAATAATAACTGAGTGAAGCTTGCGCTCAAGGTTGTCCGCGCCCACCCACCATCTGTCAGTTCTTCAATCTGTCAGTACACTTGGCAGTCTGTTCCCCTGCCCCTCCGGAGCCTTCATGTACCCGCATTGGTCTCCCCCAGTCAAGAATCAAGAGCACTTACTCGTGCCCCGGTGGCAGATGATGACCTTCTGAGCCTGGCCAGTCGGGCTGTCCCCGCCCAGGCGCCCTGCACTACCCGGTCCCCCGCAGCCACCCGCTCCGCCGCCGCGCAGGGGCAGATCCGCCTGCACAAGCTCGCTGAGGAAGTTGATGTAGCCGATGGCCAGACGCAGCGTGTCCACCTTGGAGAGGCGCTTCTCGTAAGGCAGCGTGGGGATGTGCGAGCGCAGCCCCTCGAAGGCATCGTTGATGGACTGCATGCGCCGCCGCTCGCGCACGTTGGCCGCCTGCCGAAGCTGCTGCAGCTCCGCCTCCGAGCGCACCCTCCGCCGCCGCCGCGCCGCCCCACTCAGGCCCCGCAGCCGTGCGCCGGGGGACAGCACGGCTGCAGCCGCGCATGGGTAGGCCAGGCACTGGGATGGGGAGCCGGGTGAGAAGGCCAAGGCGCCGGGGGCCGCCCCTGCCTCGAAGCAGTAGCCGCCGCCAGCGTCCTCCGGCTCCCCGGGACTCCCCGAGGGCTGCGCAGCGAGCGCGCGCGGGGCGGTCGGGGGCGCAGGCGGGAGCAGCAGGCACGCCCCGTCGCGGTAGCAGTACTCGTGCAGCTGGTGGCTGAGGAACTCCACCTCCGCCTGCTCGTCGGCCAGCAGCTCCTCGCCGTCCTCCAGCGGGTCCCGGGAGGACTGGTCGGTGAAGAAGTCCTCCTCGTCGAAGTAGGCGGCGGGGAAGGCGTCCAGCCCCGCGGGGAAGTGCTCCAGCAGCACCGCGTCCATGCTCCGGGCCGTCGCAGGCCGGAGGGGCTGCTCCGGTTCTTTGTCAGCGCTCCGGAGCGGACACCGCCGGTGCCGCAGCCCCTCCCTCCCGGCCGCCCCCGCGCCTCCCTGGAGCGCCTGCGGCCGCTGCTCTGAGCCGGCTTTGGGGAGGGCAGGGACGAACTTGAAGGAGCTGAGGGCCGGCACGCGAGGATTCTTATAACTACATCCATAGGCGCGTGCCGGGGACCGGCCGCGCCAACCAATCAGAGCGCGGGGCGCCAGGGGGGGAGGAGGCCCGAGGCTGCGGTGGCGGCCCCGGGCTAGTGCCCTTCCTGAGCTCGCGGCAGGGAGGCGGGGCTCTGTGCCCTCCGCGCCGGCTGTGTACCTGCCCAGTGGCGGCGGAGGAGGCACCTGCGCCGGAGGAGCCCGCCGGCCTGGGGTGCGCTCTGCTGCAGTGCAGTCCCGGGGCCGCGTCTCCGCGCAGCAAGGGAGGTTAGAGGAGTGCGAGACTGGTGTCGCTGCTCCTTTCCCGACTCCGTGCAGAAGCTGCCCGCTGTCCGGCGATCCGAGGCGCTCTGGAGAGCGGCCAGTCGGGACCTTTGGCCAGACGCACCCGGGGCGCGCGGAGCTCGGCTCGGGCTGGGTTGAGGTTCTTTTCCATCATGGAATCTTTCAAGGATTCTCACAGAGTTTGCACAGGAGATGCTGCTGGCGCCTTCCTTGGAAGGCGACCTGGTCCCGTTCTCGGGGTTCGGTCTCGGGGCGGCGTCACAGAGAGCTCAGGGACTTCGCCGCTCCACCCGCTGCTCCGCCTGCAGTCCCCCTGCCGCGCCCGTCCCTCCCTCTCGGAGCGGAGAATGGACCCAGGCTGGGGCTAGAGGGGCGCCTCGGAGCAGCGCAGTGGGGCATGTTTCTTTACAAGCAGATCGAGACCTTGGGCGTTCTGAGCAATAAGCTGTGAACAAAGCAATCAGCTGAGTCCTGGGCTCCGAGAGGTGCGGAGGGAAAGCACTAAAGTCAAAGGGCAGAGTGACAACCACGAAGACAGCCCTGGAGGATTGTCTCAAGGCAAGATCCTTGAACTTTTAAAAATACAAAAGTATGCACTCTGCCCCAAGACACGCTTACCGTAGACGGTGATGCAATATGAATTCCTCGTGTAAGGACGACAAAGATGCTTTCAAGGTCTGGACAGTTTCTTCTAAAAGCGAAGCTCCAGCTTCCAGCCGGGGAGAGCTAAGAAGCGCAGCTGGACGCTATTCCCTCCCGAGGGCTGGAGGACTCACCTTCCGGGGGGTCCCCGCTTTCTTTTCAGACTTTGTCCCCGTGGAGATTCTTTTAAGTCATTCAGACTCTCCTTGAAATCCAAGTCCGCTGAGAACAGTGCCTCCAACTGGATTTCACCTAATTCTTTTTTTAAAAAACAGAAATCGAACTCAGGACCTTGCACTTACCAGGCAGGTGCTTACGGAGCTGAGCTGTATCCAGGTCGATTTCACTGAATTGTAAGTCCAGATTTGAGATGGAAGGGTGCAGAAGAAGAACTCTGTCCTACCTCAGACACTCAAGACCCTCAGATGGTTCCAACCCGAGGCTCTGTTTCCTTAGCGGGGTGCCTCTCAGTCCTTCAGTGGTAATTCAGCGATGAAAGGATGTGAAAGTGGTCAGGTTTTGCGCCATGGAGGCGGAGTTGTGCTTTCCTGAATCTAGATTCCTCCTTTTGCCCCAAAGAGAAGAAAACTGCGGTGCCTAGGGGTGTGTGTGTGTGTGTGTGTGTGTGTGTGTACACTAGGGATCAGGACAGTCGCTTTGTGTGACCCACTCCCTTCACTTTGAAGAGACCCTACCCTGCCCTCGCGTGGTTGGAATAAAACTGAATGAAGCAATCAGGACTTGCAAGAGGAACAAATGACTAGACTTTAAATCTTACCCAAAATATTGATAGCCATTTACTGAAGAGATGACTGGGTCTAGCTTATCAAAGCCATCTTGGAGAGGCTCAGAAGCCTTGTGGAATGGGCCTAGCTGGCTCCTTAAAAAGTACACTTACCCAGTTGTGCAGGGAGGTGCTTCTGGGAGACTAAGGAACAAGGGTGTATGCATAGCTTGTTTAATTCCATGTGCTTGTAAGAGCTTCCATAACATTATCTCACCTGTATTTGATGAGTTTGTGAAAAAGTTCCAGAAATTTACCTTGGACGCCTAGGTGAGCTAAAGGGCAGTCTGCTGCTGTTCAGAAACCTTGCTCTGTCCCAAGGGTGTGCAGTTCTGAGCCTCTTTTGGGGGCAGATGGACATGGAGGGGCAGAAAGAGAGAAAGTATCTTCCTGTGGCCCTTTCCTTTCTCTTAGAGAACTGCTAACTGTCTGCAGCCTGGTCTTAGAATCTTAGAACAAGGGTTGCAGACACACATGTGTACACACACACACACACGGGAAAGTAAGCCATGATAGTTCTGTTCCCTTATAAAAAGAAGAGAGACCCCCTCTTCTAATAAAGAGTGTTCTCTCTGGGTCACTGCATGTCACAGTAGTGTGGAGGGCTACCCTTTGCCGTGTAAGGCAATAGGTCAAATAAAGAATAGACTGGAATAGAACCTTCTTGTGCCAGGCCAGAGCCTCTCAGGTTCATCGCAACTCAGAATATCTCTGGGCAGGGGTCGGAGACACAGAGAAGATTGTGATCAGAAGATTTCCAGTAGCTCATGTCTAGGGAGGCCTTGCCCCAGAGCTGCAAGTGTCTACATTCCCTGCTAAGCTTGGGCTGGCCTGTTGCCATGCAGGCCTCATGAGGGATGTCCCCTTACCATATAAAGAACCCCAGCTTCTTTATGAATAGCATCCCATCTCCCAAGCTGGGCAGCAGAAAGGGCACTTGGTTCCCTAGTGGCAAATCCTTGGAGACCTCAAGAGTTTTCCAAGTCTTTCAACAAGAGCTTATTGCCACCTATGGTCCTGGGTGTGGTTTATGGTAACAACTGGTCTTCTTCTGGGTAGCTCATAGGCCTTGGCAGATCTCCTGGGTTCTGAGTTCCAGGAGAATTCCCAGCACAAGCCATGGAGCTTGAATCTCAATCTCCCCCTCCTCCTTGCCAGTTTGGCTCCTCCCCAGGACCCTGAGGTCCCAGTCTATCTTCCTTTCATTTTCCGTGGGACATTGCCAGTCATTTCCCATCTTCTAGGAGCATGATGGGGGGTCTTTCCAGGGTGAATTCAAGCAGATATCACTAATGAAGGACAGGGCATCCAAGCTTTCAGCTTCCCTGTCCTCATGGAAGATTCTTCTAGTGCCCAGTGTGTGGCCCGTGCCCTGACTGCTGGAACCCAAACTGCAAACGCTGGAATGTAGCTGTCATGCCCAGTGTCACACATGCCTGCTTGGAGTGCAAGACCTTGTGCATGAGACTCACAGTGATTGTCCCACTAGAAAATGTGTCCATATTCATCTTTCCTAACCCAAAGTGTCCCCTTGCCCACTTCATCTCAGAACTGGGCAGGGGTGTAGCTTGGCCACTGCCATCTCTTTCTCCTCTTTCTTTGCTGCTGCCCTCAAACCAACCTGAGGTCTTCTTTTTTTGTCCCCACTTGAGTGCCCCTACAGTGATCAGTCAGTCCATCCTTTACACTTAGGCTCTTAGCAATGGGCTTGAAAAGGAAATCAGAGTTTATACTGAAAGACCACTCAAGTCCAGCGAGGTTCAGTGATCTAAGGGCACAAGTCCCAGCCCAGCCCAGCGCTGTTTTCCCTGAATACTGAGAGCAGATTCCAACCCTGCTTCTGTCACTCATAACGGCTGTGTTTCTACTCAGTTCAGATCGCTCTTCAGTCATTAGACCACCTCCTTTACCTCCACGCTTTACATCCCCGGGTGGGCTCAAGCAGTGCTTGATATTGAGGAATGATAACAGCTGAGGAAAAAGTATCTTACACATAAGACCTAGTCCAATCAGAGCCTGTGCTCTGACTCCAAAGTGGATTTCTGCTGGGCACGTGGATTAGACGGTCTGCCTACTGAGGAGGCTGAGGCAGAAGATCAAGGGTTCAGGCCTAACTTAGGCAACTTAGTGAGACCTTGTCTCAAAATGTAGATGTTTATAAAGGGGCTGTGGCTGTGGCTTAGTGGGAAGGCTCTAATTTTTCATACCAAAAATGATGGTGGTGGGGACTATAGATCAGAGATATGATGCTGAACTTTTTGTAGAGGAACATGGCCTCACACATGCTAAGCATGAGCTTTTCTACAGGGCTACACTCATTGCCTTTTGAACTCCTTCCCTGCTTTCTAGGCCCTTGGGTACCTCTCTGTTCACACCATCCTTGATCAATTTGGGAGTCACTTTGCTCCAACCTTAATGCCATTGTAGGCCATGCTGACCTCCTCAGGTCTTCTCTCTCATTCCTGCTCCCCAGTCCATTGGTCTGTGAGCTCCTCGATTTGGTTCAGAGATCTTATACTTACTCTTCTCTAAGTCAGATGGAAGGAATACTACTAATGCTAGAAAAGGTGGATGTGAACACAGGGCCTTTGTAGCTGTGATTGCCACTCACTCTCATAACTATTCAGACTTAGTGTTTTCATTCAGCAGGTGACTCAGTAAGCCTCCACCTCCCACCCCAGGCTACAAGCCCAGCAAGATTTAGAAATCTCCACAAAGTTCAGCTGATGTGGTACCGTGTGTGTGTGTGTGTGTGTGTGTGTGTGTGTGTGTGTGTGTGTGTGATGTATCTCCTATCCAAGTAGAAACACATTCACCTGGCACTGCAGACTTGAGTGGAAATGAGTGATCTCTACCCAGGAGGCAGAGGTCTCAGCACCATGGGGAAGGTTTCCTGGGAGCCCCTTTCCACGAGGAGCCCTCTCAACCTCAAAACACAAAGCTGGGCCATATCCCATTTGGTACCAAGGAAAGGAAGCACAAAGCTGCCCTGAAACAGCAAGTCTAGGGAAGATCACCAGCCTCCTTCCTGCTTGCCTTTGTGTTTCTTGTTGTTAAACATTAATCTTTAAGAGGAGGAACG